ACCCACCTAAGCAATAAAAAAAAATAAAAAAAATTTGGTCCTAAAATCTATACAGCGTCAATACAGCGGGATATAAATTGATTTATAGACTGCGTATTGGGACTACAGCAACTCTTTCCGTGTATATATATTTTTTTCTTTATTAGACTTTATTAAGATTTACGGGACGCGGTAAAAAAGTATTTTTAAAAGTTTCGTATTCATTGGAGGGACGTATAGTATTTTATTGTTTGTTTAAAAAAAAAAACGATTTTGAATGCGCTAAAAAATATAGGGATGCGATTATCATCAGGCTATGAGATTTTAATCGCAAAATTCACTTCAAAACTAAGATTGTTATTCAATGATCTTATCTATATATTAATACGTGAAGCAAAAACTTTGTATCCCTTTTTACGAAAATTGCGCGGACGGAGGAGTATGAAATTTTCCACATTTATAGAGAACTAGCGACCCGCCCTCGCTTCGCTTCGGAAACATTAAAACACACATGAAACCAAAAAAATAAAATAAATAAAAAATTTAAAAAAGTAGCCTATGTTCATCAGGGACAATGTTGGCTTCTAATGGAAAAAGAATTTTTCAAATCGGTCCAGTAGTTTCGGAGCCTATTCGAAACAAACAAACAAACAAATCTTTCCTCTTTATAATATTAGTATAGATATAGAGAAGAAGTGCACAATGCTAATATTTTTTTTAAATAATGCATAAAAGATACATTAAATCAATAAAGAAAACATTACACACACTACATACCATGTATTTGACGCACACACGCATGCATACTATTTATTGTCAAACTTTTGTCCTTGACGTCTGTTGTCAAATTGAGAAAAAATTAAATATTGTTTGTCATTATTAATATTTTTTTATAAAAGTATAAAATACAATCATAATAGTGTACAAACTTACAATTCCAATTAATTATAGTCGAATTTCGACTACTGCGGGACCTCTAGTTCATATAATTTTGCTTATTGTTTTAATTAATATTATAAATTTCAATGTGTGTTTGTTTGTTTTTCATTCACGTCTCAACGAGGCAACGGATTGACATGATTTTTATAGTGACATTCTTAGATAAAGAAACTGATTTAAGCTATCTTTTATCCCGCAAAAATATCTCATTCACACTTGAAACTATACTGAGACATTTCATTGACCGGGCGGGCGAAGCCACTTGTGACATTTAATAATATATAATTGCTTAGAATTGTTTATTTAGGCATATGTCTGAGAATATAAATCACTTGTTTATAAGCAGTATCCGGAGAATACTGATAGTATAACGTCAGATAAAAATGCGACTTTTAGCAAAAAATTATATTTTATGGCGGCGAAAATTTTAAAATAGGTCATTTTTCTTTTAGAAAAAATGGTACTCCCTTGTGGCGTACTAGTGACCACTAAGGCCCACTACGACTTTTTAAGATATCACACTATTTGAGGAGTCAGTAAATAATCGCCCGCCACTAAGTACTTATGGGCATTAGAGTCATACTCTACCTTCATTTCCAAACAGCGCTTGCGTGAGTTTTACAACATTAGTAGGAGATAAGAGGCTGTAGACATTTTGGTTCGCGTATCGATTGCCCAAGATGTCTATACTAGGCCAATTCCTGGTAATCAGTTTTTATTTAGGTGCTTTTCTCAAAACGTAGCGCTTTGACTACGAGGCTACGGTTATAGTGCTACGGCTACGAAGCTACGAGAGTAGTGCTACGGATTTAGACAATTTGTTATTTATTGCCCTGTAGAGGTAATGTAAACCTGTAATGTGGTGTTGGAGACGCATGCTAAGAATTCCGTGGACAGCCTTCCGGACTAACGTGTCGATATTGAAGCAACTGGGCATCAAAATCAGACTGTCTACTGTATGTCTGAAGCGGATCCTCGAATATTTTGGTCACATTGCGAGGAAAGACGGCGATAACCTGGAAAAACTTATGATCACAGGGAAAGTTGAAGGCAACAGATCTAGAGGCCGCAGCCATACTCGTTGGTCCGATCAGATCCGCACCGCTTTGGACAGTACAGTGTACAGCGCGCTGCATGACGCCGTGGACAGGGGAAAGTGGAAAAAGATCCTAAGATTGAAGCTCATGGGTGATGGTGGTCACGACCCTCAGACATGAGGAACACGACTCGAGGAGGAGGAGAGGTAATATACAGCTGTACTACAGGTTAAATGGTAACTGGAGCTTTAATGACAGTATACGCCTTGAGAAATGAGGTCGTTGTCCGACTCTTCAAACGCTAATATCACTGCTTTAACAAGGGAACTCGCGGTACCAAGGGCAAACCGCAATCCTGAAATACTAGGAACAAACACAAGCTTGTTGTGCCGATGAGTAGGTTACATAAGATACGAAACTCATTCGGGTGTTTGTCTGTGCGCCTGCACAACAAAATCCCACAAGATGTTCAGAACCTACATATACATAGGTTTAAGAAAACTATTAAAGAACATCTGTGCAATAAAGCTTACTATAAAGTCAATGATTATCTAGAAGATTGCACAAAGTGGGAATGAGTTGCCGCTCCGGGCATTTCAATATTGCAATAATTGTTACGTTATAACACTCATTGTAAAAATTTATATTTAAAAAAAATCTAATATAAAAAAAACTAATATTTAAAAAAAAAAGACATTCCCTCTGAGTTTCTTGCCAATTCTTCTCAGGACGGAGGCTAGTTTTTTGAATTGGAGGTAGTTCTTTTGACGTTCAACAAGTATGTATTTTCATTTATGTTGAATAAAAATTTTTTTTATTTTGTTTTGATTTGAAGGTTATTGCTACCTATTGGAACAGAACCCATGGTAGCTTCACGGCCCAAATAGACCGTCAGCGACACTAAACCTGGCAAACTCCTAACACGCATTATCATCAGTAAATTCGCGTCGATCTGTTTCTGCGGCAAACCCGGTAGCCTATCTCAAATCTCTCGATCAGATTTCCGAATATCAGGTAACCATTTGACATCACTTGAGTCATTTTCCCTATTGCCTAAGTGTAGACCGCGGGAACCTCCCTAACCTGACCTGTTTCCAAACCCGGGCGGAGATCAGACGTCGGATGGGAGAGTGCTGGTGAGGTAGAGCCCTAAAAACATCCTTGGGCCCGTGGTCTACTCCCAACATCTGGAGACCGTCCAGTGCCTACTGGTAGTAGGACCTCTTGTGAGTCCACGTGGGTGGGTACCACCGCCTTGCCTATTTTCTGCCGTGAAGCAGTAATGCGTTTCAGTTTGAAGGGTGGGGCAGCCGTTTTAACTATACTGAGACCTTAGAACTTATATCTCAAGGTAGGTGGTGCATTTACGCTGTGGATGTCTATGGGCTCCAGTAACCACTTAACACCAGGTGGGCTGTGAGATCGTCCACCCATATAAGCAATAAAAAAAAAATTGCCACGTATCCTGCGTGTCCCCTACCTCGTAGGAAGTTCGGCACAATGCCCGAACAAAAAATATCCCCGTTTGCCTTCCTAAGAGCTATAAGATGCAATCAAATCTGTCCTCACAAAGATACTCAGTGATTAGTAAATGCTTAAGCATGTACACAACTTTCGACAATGTTTTTTTTTATTTTTTATTGCCCTTGTAGGCAGACGAGCATACGGCCCACCTGATGGTGAGTGGTTACTGTCGCCCATGGCCTTCAGCAATGCCAGGGGCAGAGCCAAGCCGCTGCCTACCGCTTAATACTCTCCACAAGCCTCGTTTGAAGAAGGACATGTCATAGCGCTCGGGAAACACTTAGTTATATGGCACTGTCAACATTGAATGGGCCGCTTTTTATCTCTCCCTCTTTGGAATGCATTGTTTCGCTTTTCCCTTTGCTTTCACTCGTGACGAATCACTTTTTATATGATCGTGAAGCTTTTGATTGATAACTCATTCGAGATTGTATGTTCTATTCAAAAAAAACTAACATAAGATTTAGATTTAGATCTTGAATTTAGAACTTTAAGCTGCTTTAAAAGAATAGTGAAGGAGCATTACCTATCCGCCTAGTGTTATTTGCTTGTTTATGCTTTATCTATACTGTTGGTTTATTGAAGTTATACTTCTTTAGGCGCGTTATGAAAAATTGATGAGAGTGAAATTTTACGATCTGTGCGCACCGTGACACAAAATTAACAGAAATGAAGTTGCCCACTAAATCGCTCATTACAATACGACCGACGTAACTTGGCGAGTCTGAATATAGCCGCAGGTGAACTTTCGTAAAAAAAGTGTTATTAGCATTCATTTTTTAGTAATAGAAATGACAAAATTATTATTTAATATAATTCATACTAAATATTATTAAATTATTAACGTTAATTATTTATTTTTAATTATTTAGTACTTAAAAAAGAAATAAATTTAATAAAAATAAAATATAACTTCTTACGCGCGTACATAAGTACACGCACCCTTTTTTATGTGTATTTAAGTATATTGGAATATATGTAGATCATATTATTATAGTGATTTCATATTATATTCAACGGTATCTTCTTCTCCATCGCTCCCTCATTGCTGAGGATCGTGACTCAGTTTTAGCTTGTCGACTGTCAGCCTCCATCGGTTCCGGTCAGTTATCATTAATGTATTATTCAAATGTATAATTAATAAGTACACGGCAACATAATTGCTGTATCTTTATCTTTTAAAGAGTTACTGTGAATTAAACGGTTCTTTGGAAAAGATCCAGTAAAATAAGAGAACCAGTAAAATAGGCAGGGTGGTGATACCTACCCGTGCGGACTCACAAGACTTCCTAATACTAGTAAAAACCTTGGTAGAGATTGGTAGAATAGATACCACCACCCTATCTATTTCTGCCATGCAACAGGAGACTCTTAGACAGTTGCCTACGGTCTACCGAGCAAACACCAGCACGTCGGAAGATGTTCCTCATCGCCACTGTCATTATCACTACCCTATACGCATCTATCTATCGGTAAGGTAAACACGCATTTAATACATTAAAAATACAGCTTAAAACTCACCCAACCACGAAAGCTTGCCGAACCGAATCCTGAAAATAAAATATCTGTAAAAATATCTGAATCTGTAATCTGTAATAATAATATCTGTATCGGTAAAAATATAAAGTATCTTAAATTAAACTGAAAAAAAAAGTTATATTAAATATACGTATGTACCTATATTACACGCTTTATATTACCTTCACTTGTATGTATGTTTGTATGTTTGTAACTGACTCCTTTAGACGCCATTTTGGACCCACTTTAAACGGCCAGATTTCATTCAAACTTTGTAGATTTATCGAGGACCGATGAGAATTCAATATTAAAAAAAATATTGAAATTCAACTAAAAAGTGAAAAATAAATAATAGTTTAAAAAAACTAAAAAAACACGCTTTATATAAAATTCAACTAAAAAAATGAATATAAATTTAATAAATTTAAATTGAAAATTGTGTAAAAAATATATAAATTTTATTGTAAAAAAAGCGTGGGGTGCATGGTGTTATTAGTTATAAATATTTTTCTGACAGATATGAGTAGAAGAATTATTATTTCAATAATATCTTAAAAAGCACGCTTTTTTAAAAATAAATTTTATTTTATTATATTTAATAAAAAAAAATTGGTTGAATTTTATATAAAGCGTGTTTTTTTGTTTTTTTAAATCATTATTTATTTACACTTATGTATGGTATGTATTTTGTGTATTTAAATATATGGTATATTTGTAATATAATTTAAATGCACCTACCTACCTTTATCTACTCTGCACCACCTTTGGTTGACTGGTAGAGGAGAATGCCTTAGACATTAAGTCCGCTAATGTAAATATTACATGAAGTGTAATTAATAAATGGTTGCTCATTTACTAGCAAAATTCTGCATACTTTTGTCGCGAAACAAACTAACGGATTCGGCTTGAGACAGCGACTTTTTTTTATTGCTTAGATGGGTGGACGAGCTAACAGCCCACCTGGTGTTAAGTGGTTACTGGAGCCCATAGACATCCACAACGTAAATGCGCCACCCACCTTGAGATATAAGTTCTAAGGTCTCAAGTATAGTTACAACGGCTGCCCCACCCTTTAAACCGAAACGCATTACTGCTTCACGGCAGAAATAGGTGGGGTGGTGGTACCTACCCGCGCGGACTCACAAGAGGTCCTACCACCAGTAATTACGCAAATTATAATTTTGCGGGTTTCCTTTTTATTACACGATGTTATTTCTTCACCGTGGAAGTCAATTGTGAACATTTTTGAGTACGTATTTCATTAGAAAAATAGGTACCCGCCTGCGGGGTTCGAACACCGGTGCATCGCTCAACACGAATGCACCGGACGTCTTATCCGTTAGGCCACGACGACTTTGACCCCATGTTCCAATTCGGGTGTCCGTCATGAGACGCGGCTTATTGGCTCCAATAAAAATCGAATACAAAGTGTTAGGCAAACATTTGCTAAGCTCTTACCGGATTCAGAAGCACCTCCATAGCTTGAGGGTTTTGAATCGCCTTTAGGTTTTCTGTAACATTAAAATAATTTGTCAAACCGTACGACTCGCGTGTCTCTTACAATTATTGACGCTTTAAGCGCCTTATTGTTGGTCTTGAGGGAGCATTTCATCGTAACCCGACGAGTAGGTGAGCTCACGGGGCTCAAACCTGACGACCTTGCTAACACGAACCCTAGCAAGAGCCGTGCTTCTCAGAATCTACCACCGGATCGGAAACGCGACCTCCTGAGAAGATCCGGCGAGAAACTCAGTCATGGAGAGTACTCTAAGGAATTGTTTGAGATGATCCCGTCATCTCGTTTTTACTATCACACCGCCCGCCACCGGAGTAGAGTTCATCCATACTACCTGGAGCCACTGCGGTCATCCACAGTGCGTTTCCAGAGATATTTTTGGCACGTACCATCCGGCTATGGAATGAGCTCCCCTCCACGGTGCTTCCCGTGCGCTATGACATGTCCTTCTTCAAACGAGGCTTGTGGTACTTAAGGTAGACAGTGGCTTGATTATTGCCTTGCAATTTTTGACGTTCATGGGCGACGGTAACCACTCACCATCAAATGGACCGTATGCTAGTCTACCTACAAGAGCAATAAAAATTTCGAAAGATTTCTTTTGTAAGAGGAGTTCAGTAGCTTTTTGCTTATCAGTCTGTAGCAAATAAAAATAATTAAGGTATTTGAATTACGGTGTTAAGTGGTTATCGGAGTCCATAGACATCAACAATGTAAACGCTGCCACCCACGCTCCGTCTTATACGGCTGTCCCGCCCTTAAAACTGAAACGCATTACTGCTTCACGGCAGAAATAGGCAGGGTAGCGTTACCTACCCGTGCGGACTCACAAGACGTCCTACCGCCAGTAAAAACCTTGGTCTAAGAAGAAACAAGCACTTAAGAGAACGTTACGAAAAAAAAAACCCACCGCAAATTGTCGTATCTCCATCCCTTTTTATCTTTCAGATAATCGATCTTCCGTTTCAGTCGTTCGCTGTCGTAGAATCTAGTCGGCTGTGAGTTAAATACTGGAGTACTCTTAAATAGAATTAGGTACGCAATGAATACTGTTACAAGCAAGATGGCGGTAATGCAGAGAACGCACGCGTATTGGGAGCCAGCGATCTTCTTTAACCTAAAAAAGAAAAAAAATATCCTAATTCGGGTGTTCACCATTGACCTTATTACCATAAACAAATGTCCAGGAATTGAACAAAACCATATAATTATATTTTTATGCTTTTGTTATGTACTTTGCTTTTTACAATTTTATATTATTCGATTCACATTAAAGGCTTCGTCAAACAGAACGCGTAATTAGCTATGACGCCGAGATGTGTTGTACTACTATGGTAACATACCGTTAAACAGAGCCCCAGCGCTATAAGTACGCAGCGCTCTGTCGCGGCGTTAGGACGCTTTGACGTCAGGCGTTGTGAATTTGTACAAATTTGATTTTAGCGTCGGAGTGAATGTGTATTAAAATACTAGATAATGCCCGAAAAAATTATATAAATAGTTAGAAAATATCCATGTTTATACAATGCCACATCTGAATCACTCGATTTCTAAGTCTGCGGCTTATTGCTTATGTTGGTGTTGCGCACGCGTCTGTGTCGCGTCTGTCTGTCTCCAAGTTTTGTTCCGGGTCTCTTCGCACTCCGCTTTCGCGTGCCCCCCACGTTTAGGTATCGAGCGCCGACAACAAATTTAAATAAACAAAAATGTTTATATTTATGAGTAGATTAAATTATTAATCCAAAATATTGAACTAAACGTACTGAAATCAATTGAAATATCGCGAAGGCAACAACAAGGATTTGAAAGAAATATTAGGGCTAATAAATTGGTTCAATTAACAAAGAATTCACTCATCTGACCGAAGAAAAGAATTTAACAGACACACTATTCATATTCATATTCATATTCATATTCATATTCATATTCATATTCATATTCATATTCATATTCATATTCATATTCATATTCATATTCATATTCATATTCATATTCATATTCATATTCATATTCATATTCATATTCCGATCTCTATTCCTATTCCTATTCTAATCCCTATTCCTATCGTATTACCTCTTTCCATGTTCTATGTGTTCCTTTTTCATATAAAAAATATTAAGTTACAATTCAACTTACGCGTGTCAGATACACAATTAATAAATACTACTTTTACGGTTAAACGTGACGAAGGTCACTGACCCGTCCGACCGTGACCGCTAAAACTGTAAAGTACTCAAAACATCGGAAATGATATAATTATAGTAAAAATTTGCGAGATTAAACCGTAAAAATAGTTTTAAAGTAGGTTGTATTGTGGCGAAATATTTCGTTACGTCACGCGCATGCACGATCGAAGAAATCTAGGAGGCCACGATCCCCGAGCCTTTAACAAAAAGCATTGTACATTTTTACATATAAAATAAACATTTCATTATTTTATTTAGAGCCGCTTTTTATTTAAGCGTCCTAAAGCATTATTACTTAATTAGGACAATTGTAATTTTGGACACACTTCCACCTGAAGAAAACAGTTATGGATACATGCATCTTACCAACTCTCACATATGATTGCCAATCGTGGACTTTCAACACCACCATAAAAACAAAAATGGTTAATTGCCAGAAAGCTATGGAAAGAAGCATTCTAAAAATAAAAATAAAAGACAAAGTAAGAAGTGAATTTATACGAAAAAAGACAAAACTAATTGATGTCCTAAACTTCAGTAAAAGATTAAAGTGGCGATGGGCTGGCCACGTAGCACGCTACAGTGACAAACGATGGACAATTGAAGTGACAAAATGGAAAGGGCCTAATGGGAAAAGAAGGAAAGGACGACCTATGAAGCGATGGAGTGATGATATCATAGTCACCGCTGGGAAGGAGTGGATGAGGCAGGCTGGGAACAGGGTAAATTGGATTAAGCTGGAGGAGGCCTATACCCAAATAGGGGTTCCTGTCGAGGAAAAGTGAACGGCAATGTAATTGGATCTGAATGTGGGAGTTATATATGGTTGGGAATATTTACATGTAATATTTAGGTGATGGGAAATAAAAGGCTTATTATTATTATTATTATTAAATTTGGACACGTTTAATTTTAATTCGCTTTGTTTCAGCTAATATGGCTTAAAGTTCTCTAAAGAAAATCTGAGCGCCGTATCTACGGGCAAGCGCATACGAATATTGCATACGGATAGATTTTACATCGAAGTCATTCATATTCGGGACAATTCATATACGTGCTATCAGCAAGTCATTGTATATTCTTTTAAGATCATTTATAGCATATCATAGATCAGCTATAATAAGCTTATCAATAAATCATTTCTTAGATCATTGAAGTTGTTATCACAACTATCAGCACTATGACACATCTTTCTTTAAACGAAGCTTGCGGAGAGTACTTAACGGTATTGCAGTCCATGGGCGACGGTAACCACTCACCACCAGGTGGGCCGTATGCTCGTCTGCCTACAAGGGCAATAAAAAAAGGGCTGTCTGGACGAACCGTACCACCATTGATACTCAAAAAACCGATCTCTTTATTCTTTATTGTACACACAGTTAATACAATATAATAATTGCGAAAAGTTATAAAATGGCGAGCTTAACTCAACAATTGAGTTATCGACCAGCTAACCGTTCTTAAAGAGGGTTAGCTTTACATAGGTGGGTAGAAGAGTACAATCTAATCAATTTACTTATTGATACAATACAAAATAACAATAATAGTAACAATAATAAATAAAAACGCTAATACATAATATATCAGACTATATACACACATAAATAACATAACCATATACATACACGTACATATATAATGAAATAAATACAAATAATAAAAATGTGTGCAATTCACACGTGGTAGAAGTGAAACCTTCCAAAATTAAAATACAATTATCCTAAACGTCTTAAGTATATGTAAAATTTTGTCATTAGTAAATAATTGTAAGGTTAGCGCCCTCTGTGAATTGTTATTTTAATTTCACGTATAATCCTAAATTAGAATTCACTACAAGAGCTTTCATACACACGTTAGTATTTAAAAATCTCACAGATGGCGCTGTATTAAATAGTATGTATATTTCTGTCTCATTCTTTGCTGGCTTCATCCTACACATTTTTGTATTTGTGTCTCTTACCTGTCGTTTTTTCCGTTGCATCCGGTTTGAAATCACAACGATTCTAAAGAAGTTTTCACTTCAATAAATACAACAATATCTCCTGTTTCGTGTCTAAAGAAATATCTTAAAAAGATACTTACGCACAAGACACGCACGAAAACGTATCGTCCTTATCTAGATCTTCTTTCTCAGTCTAGAAATAAAAAAAATACATTTCGATAAAAAGTACCTCAGACATTCCATTAATTTAGATAGTATCTTCGTTTTTATTTACGAGTTTTCGTAAAATTAAAACAAATTTTACGGATTAATCTCGCAATTTTTTTTCGGGATTTAAAAGATGCGAGGTAAAACCGTAAAAATGGTTTTAATTATTTTTTTATAAATCTTTTAATTCAATACGACGTGTATAGAGCGTATTCGTTGTTGAGTAGACAAGCTGACGGTCCGCTTGTTATTATGTGGCATGTGACATGAAATTAAAGTTACCATGGTAATTACAAAAGTATTTAGTATTAAATTGCACTCTGTATTACAATATAACAAATTACATGATGAGACGAGCGAATGCACGACCAAGCTGCCCATGGACATCACAACAAGCCCTTCTTTGAGATATGGAGTCGAATTTTCCATTTGCCCTGTATAACGGCTGTACCTTTGAAGGGAAAAACAGGGAAGACTACGGTGCCTACTGTGGACTCTTCACCAGCAAATGCTGGGTTTCGATGGCAGTACGCTGGTGTAATACTCAAAGAACGCTGCTCCCATTCTCCGATGAAAAGAAACTCCCAGGAGAAAGGATGGAGTGGCCATGGACGACATGTAACCACTTAACACCGGGTGGGCTGTGAGCTCGACCACACATCTAAGCAATTAAAAAAAAAGTACGTATTGAGAAAAATATTCACCCGAAAGCACCATTCCCCTTTCTCCTCGTCGATGAGCTGAAAAGAGTAGTAAAAGTGAAATTAACTGACCACCCTGTTACATAGATGGCGTTAGTAGTAGGCTAGATAATAATCACTATCCATGCGTTTTTGCAGTCTACTGTTCAAACTTAACCAAGCTGGTAAGGTTTCTTGTGAGTCCGCACGAATAGGTATCATCCCACTGCCTATTTCTATTGTGAAGTAATAATGTAACTCGATTTGAAGGTTGGGGCAGCCTGTAAAACTATAAAACTCTTGACACTTAGAACTCATGTTTCGAGGTACGTGGTCAAATTTATGTTCTTAATGACTATAGGCTCCGGTAGCCCTTAGCCCTTTAACAACAGATGTGCCGTGAGCTCGTCGACCGATCTTAGCAATAAAGAGAATCATAATTTCTGAATTAGACCGGTCGTTTGTTGAAATAGCCAAGCGACTACCCCTGACTTAGGAATGCACTTAAAAACATACAAACTCACATTATTTTTATTATCAATCCGAATACCCTTCACATTATCCACGTCGCGCATTGCCTTTGATGTTTCAGAACAGCTTGAACTCTTTGGACAAAGAAAAAAATAAAAAGGCTTTCATAGAATCAGACAAGACTATCTAAGATGGCGACGCGATGTAAAACTCACGATGAGACTGGTGCAAGCCATCATCGGCCTAGAGGAATGAGTCTGGCGTCTCAAATATATGTAACCTCTATACGATCTATGATATAAATCTTAAAAGAGGTTAATATGTTATAAAGATGACATAAATGGTAATTTCAATATTGAAAGGTTAGAAAAACGTTAGAAGGAACATTAGAAATATTAAAACTTTTTTTTTTGTTTTGTTACTTGGATGGGTGGACGAGCTCACAGCCCACCTGGAGTTAAGTGGTTACCGGAGTCCATAGACATCCACAACATAAATGCGCCACCCACCTTGAGATATAAGTTCTAAGGTCTCGGTATAGTCACAACGGCTGCCCAAACTTTGAAATCGAAAGGCATTACTGCTTCACGGTAGAAATAGGCGGGGTGGTGGTACCTACCCGTGTGGACTCACATGAGCTCCTACCACAAGTAAAAAATTCCCATGAACCCCGTCCATTACATTCAATATTTGGATAGAAGAGTGAAATAAATCGTGATACTCATACGTGATTCGTCTTCGACTTCTGAGAATGTTGACGTTTCTTCTTATCCGCCTTCTGTTTCAGCAGATTCGTTTTCTCTGGATCACTAAAACACACGAATCAAGTTTTTTTTTTTGTCAGGAGGAAATCGCCGGACTTCCGCCCTCCACTGGGGATGGAGGGCGGGGCATGTCGGAGTTGAACCGACTAAAACCTCCTGTCGTTCAACAACCAGCATCCAAACCTCGCATGAGACAGAACTCATGAAAAGGCAAAGGGGGGAAGGTGAAGCGTTTAGTGCGGAGCACATCTCTCCCATCACCCTCCCCCTCGGGATGCCGGACTGGCGGTCGTCGGCGCCACGACCACCAGTCCTCTCGGTACACGTATCAAGTGGGAATTCTTTTGTCACTGGATTGTATTGAACTGTCACTAGATAATAAACTTTTACTGGTGGTAGGACCTCTTGTGAGTCCGCACGGGTATGTACCACCACCCTGCCTATTTCTGCCGTGAGGCAGTAATGCGTTTCGGCTTGAAGGGTGGGGTAGCCGTTGTAACTATACTTTAGAACTTATATCTCAAGGTGGGTAGCGCATTTACCATGTAGATGTCTATGGGCTCCAGTAACCACTTAACATCAGGTGGGCTGTGAGCTCGTCCACCCATCTAAGCAATAAAAAAATAAAAATATAAACCTTAAATTGGGTCATAATAGAACCCATACAGTTACAATTAAGGATGATTATCGTTGAAATAGATGATGGACAGTTCCTTTGCGAGGATATCACGACTAGTTGGAATCTGACGCTAACCATTTTTCTATTCGTATTAAATCCTGGATTATTTTCAACATTGATGACTGTGTCTCTTTATCACTTCTCTTGCTGTGACTGAAACAAGTATAGTTCTCTTTAGTGTCATAAGATATATATCCATCTATATCCAACTTTTAATACTGCACTACACAGTTCTCTGCTGCTTTGTAGATCCCAAGCTCTTCTCGTACACAAACAGACACAGATCCGACCTACATCTAGCCTCTAGTCCTACACTGCACCATCACAGACACAGTCCTCTGCAGCTTTGTACTGATCCCGAGCTCTGCTCATACACAAACAGACACAGATACGACCTACATCTAGCCTCTAGTCCTATACTGCACCACTATAGACACAGTCCTCTGCAGCTCTGTACTGATCCCGAGCTCTTCTCGTACACAAACAGACACAGATCCGACCTACATCTAACCTCTAGTCCTATACTGCACCACTATAGACCCAGTCCTTTACATCTTTATACTAATTGTAACCTCCTTTTGTAGATAATCTGATCAAGATCCGATAAACACCTATCCAATCCTAAACCCCACACACAATCAATTACCTTTTAATACTAAAACCCATTCTAAAATAAATAAGTAAACATTGCGAAAAATCCTATGATCATTTGAGACAATTGTCAAATATAATTGAGTTTACTTTTTATTTCAAGCTTACGACGTAAAGAGGTTCTATACTAATACATATATAAATCTACAGTGGTTTTTACGGATGTTCCGTTATAACTACTGAACCGTGCATCCGATTGACTTGAAACTTGGTATCCATGTAGAACATACATGTACTTAATGGATAGGCTAATATTTATATGAGTGTTGGAACTCCCTACACCAGTTGCGGGGGCGTTAATGATGAGAATATTTATGGGGGTGAGAAATAATAATGTTAATTTTAATTTTTATTGACGAGTACAGCTGGTAGTCTATAAAAATATATTAAATAATACGGAGCCAAATAATAATAATAATAATAATAGTATAGTTCGCCGGTTTCTCTCCCAATAGTCCCTAACGCTCCGGCCGATTGTTGCCCACCTCGCCGGAGTGTGTCCTGCCGTCTTCCCAGGCAAGGCAGTGTTTAATACACATAATAATAATAATATTTATTCAAGCCTCTTAAAATACAAACACGTACAATAATATACATGGCTTTTTTATGCTTTTTTTAATGTACATTATGCAAGGTGACATTGGGATTTTGTTAAAAAAAAAAATTAAAATGTTTTTTTTTTTCAATTTCTGTGACGATATTGAAAAAAAGGCGAAAAACCGGGCAAAGAGGAGCTTAAGTAGGAAAGCCGACTGGGAATGACGAAGGAAACAGAAGAAGGTGCTGATAGGTGCTGGTAGGAAGCTGGTGGTGGGACCTCTTGTACTGGTGGTTGGACCTCTTGTGAGTCCGCACGGGTAGGTACCACCACCATGCCCATTTCTGCCGTGAAGCAGCGTTTCGCTTTGAAGGGTGGGGTAGCCGTTGTAACTATACTGAGACCTTAGAGCTTATATCTCAAGGTGGGCCGCGCATTTACGTTGTCGATGTCTATGGGCTCTAGTAACCGTTTTTTTTTTTTTTTTTTTTT